CTTGTACTAGATTCTCCCTGTAATTCTACAGCCTACTGAGTACTATGTTTGACACTTCTATAATTTTGTCATTCTGAGAATATTACATGGGTGGAATCATAGTACACAATATGTTGAGATTGAATTTTTCATTCATTTTAATTTTTTTGAAAGCTGTCCAACTATTGTATGTATCAAGTGTGTTTTTATTGTTGTATGCTATTCCATTATATAAATACACAATAGTTTCTTTATCCATTCAATTTCTAAAGAAAATCCGTGTTCTTTCCAGTTTAGGGCTATTGCAAATAAAGCTACTATGAACACTCTGCTGTTGTGTTAATATACATTTTCCTTTCTCTAGGATGAAACATTATGCTGACTGAGACAAGACAGACCCAAAAAGTGTTTATTTTTTTTGTATGAAATACTATATCATCTCTAGTAATAGGCAGAACAGTAGTTACATGGGATGTAGTTACAACTTGTATTTGGATTATCCAAGATTCTTCACATAGTGAACAATTCACTAATTCCATTCATTCAGCTTCCTCTTTTCTTCACTATTGTCCTCTCCTTGGACAAGATTAGCCTATTCGCAGTTTTCAAACTCCATTTTAATTAGTTTCTCAGTAGAGATCGACACTGAATTTGGGCACCATTCTTGCTATCTGTAGGTGGTGCTTTTTTCATGAACTTCTTAGCTACCAAAGGCACTGCATATCCACAGGTAACATTCCTATGTCTTCTGGATTTAGTGATAACAGCTGAACTTGCTCTTATACACACAGGAAGTTTGATTATAAGGAGGATTATAGAGTTTGAGATTACAGGATTCTATACTGAGGCTCTAAGCGGGTGTGCAGTGCAGAAAGTCTGTGACCTGAGCAGAGACCTTAGGATTTGCGGAGTTTCTTGAACCTCTGGCCTGATATGTTCCATGAGTGCTGGAAAGTTCTCAGCCATAATATTACTAAGGAAACACTACATTGCAAAGAAAAAAAATCAAAGCTCTATACAATACCATGAGCAACATGTGGAGGGCATACTGTAGTATTCTGTTTACATCAAGCAAATGTAGTGTAACAAACCTATAAAATAAAACAAAATAAAAGTTAACACTTCCTGTAAGATGAGGATAAAGAGGATGTAGTTAGAAAGGAGCACTTCGTATGGTGAGTTCTCTGGTTTGTCTAACATTCAGTATTCTGATTTGGTTGAGAGTTACACAATTTAAAATAATTTGAGATAGGAATTTATGTTTGTTTGTTTGTTTATTTATTTATTTATTTATTTTTGGTACCAGGAATTGAACTCAGGACCTTGTGCTCCCCAGGCAAGTGGTGGAAACACTGAGCTAAATCCCCAGCCCTGTTTTGTGCTTTTTGTGGTAGGTATATTATATTTCACCAATATAACACCGCCACCCCCCTACACACACACACTCGTACACAAATGAAATAACAAGGGACACACTGTTTACATAAGATGCTCAGGGCAAACTCTGAATGCAGAGAGATTGTTTTATTTGTAAGGAAAGGTTTGTAGTAAACCCAGCAATGTAGACAGCTATGTGCCACCTGGGCAGTGCTGGCAGGTTGCAGAGATCTCTCAGTGTGGCCTTTACATACTGGGGAATTTACCATGGAAAGTAGTAAAGGCTAATTTCTCCATAGCTGAGATCACACTTGAAAGCGTTCTTAGCTTTTAGTTAGATTTGTTGATACAGCACACTGAAAATCCAGGAATGTTTATGTAATCTTTATGATATAATAGAAATGGAGAAATTATTGGCTATCTCTTTGTTTTTAAATCCCAAACAGTCTATGGCCATACCACCCTGAATGTGCCCGATCTCATCTGAATCCCAAACAAACCTCCCTAGTCAGTTCAGTGTTTGCAATAAAGCCTCCAATCCTATGCATAATAGGAAGGAACTATCTATGGAACTGTGGACATACTGAATAATTCTCAATTCTGATATTCCCAGAAAATCCTAGGAGGTGGAAAATCTAAAGGTAGAAAAAGACCACATGTAAAGGCTCTCCAGAGGCACTACTTGTACAGTCTTTTTCAGATCTTCACATAGTGTCTAGATATTTTATCCATCTTTCAAACCCTCTGAGAGGGTAGAGCTCTAGTTTCCACTAGGTCTTATCATCTAAAGCTGTTCTGGTCACTTGTCCAAGGCAAGAAGAGACAGCTTGTTCTGATCTGATTATTGCTCCAAATCTCAATGAAGAAGAAACTGTTCTCTCTCCTCTGGGTCATTACTTCAAGGCCTGTGGTTACAAGAGGAACTCCATGGGTCTAAGGTCAATTGCTGCTGCACTGGAACAGCTACTGATTTTCCTCTTGTTTACCCTGCTTGTCACATGAGGGTCCAACTACACTGAGATCTCTTACCTCAAATCCTGCCACTCACCATCAGCTTTGATTCATGTATTCAAAAAGTTCATTATGTGAAAATGTTTCAATTATCAGCGAAACTCAGTGAGTTTTACTGCGTTACCTATGAGGATAGATCTGTTTTTAAAACAATAATAATAATAATTCATTGGATGGTGAATTTCCATCTAAAATTTATCTTTTTTTATTTACTTGCATAATTATATTGTAGATGCGAGTGAAAGATCCTAGCCCACAATCCACGTCTTCTAATTGCACAGAGGATCATAATTAAGTACATTGTCATTCTTAGAGTTGAAGTATAATTCAGAAATTACTATTTTAGACAAATTGTTATTCTCAGAACCCTGTGTTGGAGAGTGGACCATCATGAATTAAGAACCTTACAGACTTAAATAGGGTTCAAACAATAGGGGAAATGGGTTCCTGAATACTTTTTATTCAGGGAGATGAAATTTATGACATAAAAATTTCTATTGAATGCCTGAAGATGATAAGAAAATGAATTAAAACCATTTGGAAAAGGAACAGAGTAGGCCCCGGTAAGGAAATCAGGTATTAAGGTTACTAAGACATGGTCCGAGGATTTAGCTCAGTGGTTCTGCCACCTGCCTGGCAAGCACAAGGACCTGAGTTCTATCCCTGGTACCAAAAAAAAAAAAAAAAAGGTTACTAAGCCATGGAGTATGAATTTGGGGGGAGATTTTAGAAGAAAGGCAAGCTAATAAAATAGGACTCAACTATAAGTAAGGAGTCCAGGTGGATCTGTAAAGCTGGGGGAAGAAAATCTGAACTTTAAAAAAATGGTGTGACATTTTTTGGGAAGACAAGAAAGAGAACCTTCCCTCCTTTCTTGATTGCTGCCATTAGGCAAGGAATTAAACATGGGATTTTTGAGAGGAAAAGAGGAGAAAGGAATGTAAAGATGCAAGAGAAGGTGCCAAATTGCAGAGCAGTGAGAGAAAGGAAAGGGAGACGTCTGCTGATGAATACATACAACACAAAAATTAGTGATGTGTGTGTGCATGCATGTGTGTGTGTGCACGTGCATGTGAGTCCATAAGTGTGTGTGTGGTGCATGAATACTTAATAGTAACACTTCAAAGCTTAACCGGGGCAGGAGATATTCTTGGGCAAGCAGTTGACTAGTGAATAGCTTTCTTCCTTTGTGCTATATTTGGAAATGACAACTTGCTCCACTGGAGTGTGATAATAATTTCAAAAATCTCATGGACCCATACATATCTTCCACACATCCTTCTTGTTCCTACTACTTAGCCACCATCTGACTTGGACCACTATCCCACCTTCCTGTAGACTACACCGTCCCTGTCGTTCCTGTTTCCTCCCAGTTGCTTTGCCCTAAGTGCAGAGCCTCACCTCAGTTCTTTGAAGTGAGAGCAGAGACTTAGCTACACTCTCACTGTAGTCTGTAGAAGGAATAGCAAAGCCTAGAGAAAACTAACAGACAATTTAGGATGAGATATTTGATATGGTTCTTCTCTAATCTTCAAGCGGGGTCACCTCCGTGGGAAATTTATATTCAGCCAGCTCCTTACCTAACAATCTGGATTGACATCAAGTGAGAGGGACAAGTTCTTCTCCCTCCAGATGTAGTCTTAGATTTCTAACACTTACCTGAAGTCTGATCTCAACCACCAAGGAAGAAAAGCACTTCCTTTCTCAGCCTTACCTCAGGGCCTGCTTTCTTTCAGGATGACTATCAGAAGGAAATATCATTCCCTTCATGAAAGTCCTCTCTCAAGCCTCTGAGCTTTATTTTTAATATTTCCACCCTTTCTTCTCCATTCCTGGGAAGTGCTATCCTTAAACTCTGTACCCAGGCTTCTTTTTACCTGCATTCCCATCATTTGTATTTATATTTCTCTCAGCTTTTTTTTCGTGTTACTGGAAAAGAATAATTTATTTGTGGTATTTTCTATTGCACACACATAAATAATATATCCCAGTGAGAAATTGATTTGTGGTATTATTGAGAATTTTTTTTCTCATTGAGTTTATTGGTACATTTTAGGTATACAGTACAGTTACATTCATCATTGGGATCTTGTACCTTTACATAACAGGTCTTGGTTCGCATTTTTTCCCCTTACCCCTTCCCTCCCTTCACCCCCTCCTCCCTTATTTACAAATACTTTATTTCCATTTTCTCATATATTTTTTTTCTTTTTCCTTATCTCCTTTCCCCTACCCTTCCCACTTCCCCTACACCTTTAGCCCTTTTCTTCCTATTTCACATTCTCTCTGCTTTAATGGTCCCTTCACATAGATCACTGAATCCTGCTCTGATTTATCCTTGTGTCCTGTGATGGTATGTGGCAGAAAACCACATAAAACGTGGCATCAGAAAATCTCAAGAGTCAGGAATGGAATGAATCAGGTCCAGGAATTTTCTAGCCAGTCTCTCTTCCCCCAATTTGTCAAGAAGAGAGATTACACAGTCATTGGTTTATCTAGGAGCAGGGTATGTTTTACAAGGATTTCAACAGTGTTCCCACCCGTATCTCTTGCTGAGGAAGCCCAGCCTTGAAGGTATATAAATAGGTATTCCTGAAGCTTCCTGCCCTAACCGGGTCCTCTCTCCTTCCAATATGGATAAGTCTTTCCTGCTAGGACCCCTCATCCTGTTCTGCTGCTTCAGAGGTAAGTTCCTAGGGTCAAGAGTTTGGAACATGTGTCCAAGATACAGGAATGAATCACAGCACCCATGACAGAGGTCCTGTATGGTAACACAAGCATGATGGGCTGTCACTCTATGCCTTGCCTTCTACCTACAATATACCAAGTCTCTGAGACCTTAAATGAAGTAAATGATCCTCCTTTTAGAGGAAGAAAAAGGTGGATTACAGAACAATTGGGAGGGTTTTCATAAAGGCTGTGATATGAGATTCAGAAAATGAGGTCTTTAGAGAGTATATCGTTTTGTTTTGTTTTGTTTTTTTCTCCCAACAGTACCATCTGGGTCACTTGAAGAAAGACAAGCTGGGTGAGTAGAAATGGATGAGAGGAAAGTGGGAGGAGGAGAGAAGGAGAAGGGCAAGGTGGGCATTGGGAGATTAGAGGCAGCCAGAAATAGATCTTGAGCTTCAAAACTCAGAGAAACCTCTTCCAGCCGATGGAGCTGGCCTAGGGGCTGATTTTAGAGTTGAAAAAATAACATTAGGAGCACCTGACCAGGCTAATGGTAAGAAACATAAAATCCAAGAAAATAGGAATAGGGAGAAGTGAATATCTAAATCTAAAGTGTAGCACCTTTGTGAATTTCAGATGTTTGTCCTGACTGTCAGGTAAAAATACCCGTAGGATCCATTGGGGAAAAAAGAGAACAGGGCACAAAACAAACAAACAAGCAAACAAACAAAATGCTCATTGGTCCTTTTCCTTCTGGTCTGTGCTGCATGCTGTAGGGTTGGGTAGGGAAATGTGAGAAGTCGGAAAAGGTGAAGAAAACTGGAAAGAGAGGAGTTACAAGATGCCACAAATGGCTAAGCTCTGAAGAAACAGAAAGTGCTGAGCATGGCTCTAGTGAAGAGAATAAAATGGGTACTAAGGAGAGAGATTTCAAGGGCCCCACTATGGGGTAAACTTGGGCAAAACTGTGGATTTATTTCTCCTTGCCAGCACAGGCCATGAAATAGCTTTTAATGAAGATAATGCTGGTAAGTATGAAAAGGACCTAATCTGATCCTTTGATTCCTGATAATGATTTTTTTCCCACACTCCTCCTCCTTTCATTCTTTCCACTTCTATTTTTCAAGCTAAACTCCTCAGACTATAAACTGCAGTCACTTTCCCGGCTCAGCCTGTTTTATAGAGGCAGATGTGCACGCTGCATGCGGCTCTGGAAAAGGCTTTGGGTTTTAATCAGACTTCAAACATGAAAAGGGGAAATGAGTTCTTTCATGTTGATGTTATCTTCTCTCAGTTCTCTTTTTCCCTTCTCTGGTCAAGGTAAGAAAATTGTTCAATGTAGGATGTGCCATCTACAATTCCCTGGAGAAAAGTGTTCTAGAGGAAGAGGGAGATGCATGGCAACATCAGAAGAGGCCTGCACAGTTGGGCAGATTTTCCAAAGTAAGGTGTGAGCCGGGGAAAGTAAGGTGGGCAGAGGAAGCAGAAAGCACATATGGGGCACTGTGATAAGGGAGGATCTCACTCTACTATTGTTCAAGGGTAACTGATATCTTTATCTCACTCATATCATATATCATAATGCAAAGAAGATGAAGGTGTTACCAGGGGTGAGATATGTAACTAAGGCAGCAATTTTCTGAGAAGCCCAGAGAAAACAGAGGAGATTTAACTGAGGTGCAGGAAGAGGTACACTATGTGCTCACTGACAGTAGCTAGTTGCTGGACCGAAGGAGGAAGTTTTTGTCTTTGTGCCTGCCTCGACTTTCATGTGGATGGTGCCAAACTGTGGAATGGAGGGGGCCAGTGTTAGCAAGAGACTGGGTATGTAGCCCTTGATAAGTAAGACTGGACCTCATAATCTCTCTAGTTTCCCACCCTCTGTTCTGTATAATTCCTTGGCATTTCTGTGAAGATTCCCAATAGGAACCCCAGGCAATCTCTGAATTGCTGCTCCCTCATTATTCTTTTGCGGGAAATTCCCCAACCTTGTAACATCTTCCACTACTGCACATTTGAGGAACAGATCCATGAACTTCACAAGGTCATTCTCAGATTCTTGTGTAAGCTGGAGAGAAAGTTATTTGCAGAACCCTCAGGGCCAGGCTTGCTGATCTGTTTCTCCTCTCTTCTCCAGAGGATGGTAACCCTTGGCTAACTTTCATGGGCTGCTTAAAGAACTGTGCTAATGTGGAAAACATAAGTTGGAGCTCCTATCTGGTGAACTTCAGATGCTGCCGAGGCTATGACCTGTGCAATGAAAACCTTTAGAAGTCGCTAGTCCTTCTGCAGCTCTAACAGCTGACATTGTTATGTCAGCCTCTCCACAATGATTTCCTTAAAAAGCCACCCTGCAGAGCACTGCAAACACATGCCTCACCTTCTGCTTGTGAAAGAATAAGCTCCTCTTTTCCTAGAGTGTCTGTCCTGCCCCCAAAATGAATGACTGAATAAATGAATAAATAAATAAATATTGACAACAAATTCAATATACCTTGTATGTGGTTAGAAAACTTAGTACTTTCAACAACAAAGGAAGAAAATAATACTTAAATTTCAAAAAACAATTCCTTCCTCTCTTTTTTTCTTTTCTGCTTCCTTTTGTGGCAGGATAGTTTAATATTCTCTCTCTCTCTCTCTCTCTCTCTCTCTCTCTCTCTCTCTCTCTCTCTCTCCCTCCTTCTCCTCTCTTATCTGACTCAAATAAAAGGATATGACACTATCCTCATAGGGAAAGATGGGGCAAAGTGAAAAGAAATTGTTGAGTGTTCTTGGATTTTTGTTCATGCATGCAATTCTCAGACTGGAGAGGAAGTTAGGACATAGAAAAGAAGCTGTACCACAGACACAAAGAAAGAAATATTTTTCTACATTTTTAAATGAGATACTCTTTGGGGCAGCAAACTGAAGATGCAGAAGGAGAGGAGGGATTAATTGGATTCTAGTGCTTGCAGTTTTCTTGCCTGGAAAACTTGCAAGGAAGCATCAATCCCTAGACAGAGAATAGATGCAGGATACTTCCAAGGAGGTGGTACCACAAGCAGCAACACAAACATTTCCCCTGTGAAGCACAGCATGGAGGAGGCCATTTAGGCCTGGCCTTATCAGCAGTGCTTATAGAAAAACCATCCTATGAGTAAATGGCTCTCCTTCACAACCTCTACCTCATATGCACATGTGTTTCCATGAAGAGCAAATTCTAGCACTCTAAGGAAAAACAGGTCAGAATCAACATGACCACAAGGATACAAGAATTGAGGCTGGGTCAGATGCATGGCAGTCCCCAAAGTGAGCAGGCTGGTGCTGGATACCCAAAGTCCCCCCACCACTAAGACAAAACAATAGTGTTAGAACACTATTCCATGAAGCAAGTAGGCCCATACTAGATGCAGTGCCTCCCAGATGAACAAGCAGCCCTGAGCTGGATGTGCAGTGCAAGGGTATGACCAGCCACCAACTCCAAGTGGACTGTACATTTTGTTTTCCCTTGGCACAACGCAACAGAGGTGAGGACTAACCAACTGACTTGATCCTAGATGAGGGAAGTGCCCGAAAGAGAAGGGAGCAACCAACCCTGTGATTGTCAACATTACGTCCACCAATACCATTAAACACCTGCCCTATGGCCTACATCCATCAAAGACCAGAGGGCTGATTGTGTTTCCTGCCTACCAAAGAAAGGTGCATGAACATGCCTTGGCTTAGACAATAAGCATGATTTGGGGTGAATGGGTAGAGGAGCTTCTAGTGCAGAGAGAATGCCTCAAAATCCCATGGACCCTAAAGTGAGTCAGAGAAAATCATGTCTGGCTGAATTTCATGACTGTAGATCTTGGAAAAAAACAACTCATTCAAAAACATAATAATATTTTTCTTTAACTGACTCTTTTTTTATTTCTGTATTTCCTTCATCAGTTTTTTGGGGACTGAGGGGTTTTCTTCCTCCCTTTCTTTTAGTTTCTTTTCACTTTTCCCTTTTCAACATTTTTACTTTTCTTGTGATCTTTCTTTTATTTTGTGCATTTTGCTATTTATCTTTTTTCTTTTATTTATTCTTTCCTGTGAGTGTTATAACACTATTGATTTCCTTTAACTCCTCAATAGGACAACTCTCTCCCTTTTCTTTCCTTACTCTCATATTTCACTGATTGATTTTTCAAATTTTGCTCTTTTCATTCTCCTGTTCTCTAGCCCTTCTACCTTCACTCATATAACTACTAAGCTTTATGAATCTCTAAAAACTAGTTAACTTTATGCTATTACTGTCAAGTACTGTTCTATTTTTAGTAGAGGTAAAGTTGTTTCACTTAGGAGATATTTACCATAGGTCAATAGTAGGTTAATATTTGATTTGTCTTAGTGTTCATATTCTAATTATACATCTTTTTTCTATGGCTAGGGTGATACATTAATGGTCCTTAAGGTTTGTCAATATTCATTTTTATTTGATGCTATAACTTATGCTGATTTTATTACTATAGCCAAGGTGACATAGATTTTGCTATTGAATTTTATGAATGCCAATATCTGGATTGCCTTGGGATAATCAATAGTACTGTAGCCTATTCCTGGAGAACCAGGTTCTGGGAAAAATATACTACAACCTCACATCCCAAGTAAATTGAGGTGATTGGATCCTGGGACAGAGGTAAAAGCTAATAGTTAGCTACACTACAGAAATGTAGACATCAACTAAAGAGGTTTCCATAGTAGAAACAAAACTTTTCAATACAATCAACCCACAAGCCTCAACACAAGAAAACAAACAAATAAACAAAATAAAAACATGAAAAGACCTGCCAACAGAATGCCTCCAAAAACTCCTAACTCCCTCAAAGCTGAACTATAAGGAAATGAAGGGGGAACCAAAAGCCACACACACAAATTATTTGAATTATTTGAAATGATATCATGGAAGATAATAAAAAGATCAATAAGATATTTGTCAAACTCACATAAAGCAAAAGTAAAGAGATACAGATCAAATAAAATAATACATAATTCTACAGAAGACATTGATAAAAACTAGCAAAGCTAAACAAAATGATACAAAATATGCATGACTAGCATAGAAAAGGATTAGGAATCATAATAGGTTCTAAATAAAAATTCAGAAGAGATTAAAATTTTTATTAAAAGTATGAGCAGCAGAAGGGACCAATGTGAGGCCAGTGTCAGAACTAGAAGACAGAGCTATTGTTGCTGACCAACTAATGAGAAATACCTTAAAAGGAAGAAGAGAACATTAAAAATGGATCCAACAGATCCTAGATGATGCAAAGAAAGACAATGCAAGATTAACTGGAATTAGTGAAAAATTAAAAGACAATATATAGCATTAAAAAACTTGTTTACATAAATAAAAGTGAAAACTTTCCAAACAAGGGCAAAGATTTTAACATATACATGAGTGAGGTATATAGAACCTCAAATAGCCATGATCAGAAAAGAACCTTACCATGACTGAGCATAGTTGAAATTCTAAAAATCCAACAAAAGAACAGTTTTAGGCAGAAAAAATGCAACAGATCACTTTCAGGAAAATCCATTCAAATTACAGCAGAATTCTCAATACAAACCTTATAGGCCATGAGATTGTGGAGTAAAGAGTTTCTAACCCTTAAAGAAAGCAATTTCCAACCCAGACTGATACATTCTGCAAAACTATTTTTCAAAATGGAGGGAGATGTAAGATGCTATCATGATAAAAGCACCTAAAGAATTCTTGACCACAAAGCCAGCACCTCAAAAAATTCTGAAGGATATTCAACAAAAGAAATGAATTATGAAGAGTTTAAAAGAATGAATACACTGGGAAGAGTGAGCTGTTAAGAAGAAGAGAAAGATGGAGAGTCAGCAATGGGCCAACAAGGCAACAAGAATAAGTCAATTCCTATCTGGAATAACTATCAATGTCAGTAGTCTCAATTTCTTATGAAAAGACACAAACTGGCAGAGTGGATTAAGAAATAAAATCCAATTATATTCTGTGCACAGAAAATGCATTTAACCCAAAAAGAAATTCATAGACTAAAAATTGAAGGATAGAAAACAATATTCTATGCAACAGAATCCCCCAAATAGCAGATCTAGCTATCCAATATTCAGACAAAGTATACTTAAAGCTATACTTAATCAAAAGATGCAAAGAAATTCACAAATATTGGTTAAGGAATCATCTAATAGGTAAAAATTAGCAAGTATTAACACTTATGAGTCAAGCACCAACACACCCCACTTTCTAAAACAAATCCTACTGGAAATAAAAGACTACATAGACATAAACACAATTATAGTAGAGAATCTCAGTACTACATTATGGTAGATACACTGACTAGACAAAAGTCAACAAAGAAATATGAGAGTTAAACAAAAACTTTTGAACAAATGGACTTAATAGATATCTGAGCTACACTATAATAGATACACTGACTAGGCAAAAAGTCAACAAATAAATGAGAGTTGACCAAAACTTTTGAATGAATAGATTTAATAGATATCTACAGAGCATTGCACCCAAAAATAGAATATACATTCTTTGCAACAACACAAAGGACTTTCTCAAAATAGATGACGCTAGTCAATAAAACAAGCTTAAGTAAGTGTAAATGAATTGAAATTATACCCTGAATATTACCAGATCATAGTGCAATGAAATTAAAAATCAACAACAACAAAAAAATAGAAACTGCAAATGTGTGGAAACAAAACAATATCCACTTAAATAAACAATAGGTTACACAAGAGATCAAGGAAGAAGTAAGACAGTTTCTAGAGTTAAATGGTAATGTCAGTATAACATTCCAAAATTTATGGGACACAATGAAAGCAGTCTTAGGCAGGAAGTTGATAGCTCTGAATGCCCACATCAGAAAAACACAGTGAACCCAAATAAATATACTGTTACACACTGAGATACTTAAATAAAAACAGAAAGAATTCAAATTCAAAGCCAATATAAAGAAGGAAATTATAAAGATGAGACCAGAAATCAAAGAAATTGAGACAAAAATACAAAGAATTGATGAAGTGAAGATTTGGCTCTCCAAAAGAAAAACAAAATAGATAAGCCTTTAGCCAATCTAACCAAAAGGAGAGAGAAAAGACCCAAATCATTGAAATTAAAAAGATGAAATCACAATGAACATTGCCAAAAAAACCATTATTGATAACCACTTTGCCAATATATTGAAACAGAAGAAATGAATTAATCAATATGAGCCAAGAAGATTTAAAAAATCCAAATAATCCAATAATAGGGAATGAAATTGAAGTAGTAATTTTTAAAAAACTCATCAACTAAGAAAATCTCAGGTCTAGATGGATTCATCGCTCAATTCTACAAAAACTTCAGGGCAGATCTAACAGAAATACTCCTCAAGCTCTTTAAGAAAATTGAAAGGGAAGCAATACTCTCAAAGTCATTC